GAACAGGCGGTCTATAAGAAGCTCGGAATGGTTGAAGTTGAAGATCAATTAGATGGACTCAAGTACGTTCATTGGTGAACTCGATAAATTCTTTTAGATGTTTCGCGTTTAACCAAGTATCCTCTAAAAATAGTATATGACGTAACTCATCAGAACAATTAGTTTGCTTATATATATATATATATATATATATATATATATATATATACTACGTCAGAGTGCATACTATGTGCCAGAATAATTTAGTCTTAGCGTAAAAATGCGTATTATAGCAGCCTCGATGTTTTTTGGTTCCATCAGTGATGTTACTCCGCCAATCCAACAGAAGACTAAGCCCCGGATCCCAGTACTAGATCGCAAACATACTGCTTAATAGACCGCCACCAGGCAGCTAATTTGACTAGCACCTTACTTGTTTCAGATAAAAGCAGAACCCATTCGTTCAGGACGGGGTGAAACATGCTGATTAACTGTTCACTGGTCAAGTTGGCTGCATAATAGCGTACTATTTGTGATACCCTGGGTTCTATTCTCAGCTAGGTCAGTTGGTGCTGAGATCCATCTGGCATAAGACAGCTGTACAGCCAACTCCATTTTTAAATTCATTTTCCATTTGCGTGGTTTTTCATGTCGTCAAACTGGATCCTCCAATGCTGCCTCGCATGTCAATTGTGATTGATTTTGCTAAAAATTTTAAAAGTCAAAATTTTAGAATCACGTGATCACTTCTTATTTGAGTCTGTTCAGACGCATGAATTCAGCCGATTAAATAACTGTCACTGCGACCATTTTTGCAGAATGTTTGCAAGCTCACGTTTATATCTCGAGAGAATTCTGTTTTGCAACCAAAATACCACACTGAAACGTCGCCAATTATGCGGGTCGCGCCACATAATCCTCCTTCTTAACTTTTCTATACCTAACTTACCAACTTACGTGCACAGCATCCATGCATGGTAATTTCGATGCGGGCATCCTTCTTAACGTCGGTCAGCTGGTTTTAATATTACGGTATCTTTTCACTTGTGATCCGAAACTTTGTGTGCCTTCACCAAAGCCACTCATTAAAATACCAAGATCGTTTATCGATTGAGTCACAAAAAGGGTGTTGTTGAACTTTTAGCCTTCAAAATTCAACCAATACATTATTGTGATATATCAGTTCTAATTTTGGAAACACAGCGATGTCGGTACAGGTAAAAATAAGCCGACGTTTCGGTTACCGTGGGTAACCTTTATCAAGACATTTTCGAATGAAAAATCGCCTTGATAAAGGTTACCCACGGTAACCGAAACGTTGGCTTATTTTTACCTGTACCGACATCGCTGTGTATTCAAAATTACTTACATAAAACATATCATATGGTGCATCCATTTTTTGATACACTCCGAACGTTGTTCGGATCTGACACTGAATAATATTGTGATGTTTATCTATCCAATTATTTGCATTTAAACCTCTTACCTTGCTTTTGTAAGCAGTTGTGGAAAGCAATTTTCCTACGTTTTCATAGTCGTGAAAACGTATTTTAGAAATTGTATTAAAAGTTTGAATGTGTTTTATTATCTTCATTTTCAATAGTCAACGTTTCTCCTTGATCAAAAGTGTTTATTTTTATTCTCTCTCAATCTGGTGATCTTTACCAGTGCATGAATATATTTGAACCCTCTAAAAAAATTTACTATCTTTGGGTAGGAAGCTTCATTTCATTGTTCCTTGAAGCAATACTGTAAGTATGCACAGACACGCAAACAAAAGCTCATATATTTCAATACACAAATTGAAAGCCGCTTTTATCGGAACCGAAGATAAAAGTTATTTCTGCCGCTTTTACTGACGTGAAATGAACGCTTTTTACTTTACTCTACTGATCACTAATTCAGTAGTATAAATCCTAAATAGAAATATCGTGCTGCGGCCTAGATGGAATTTTCGTGAATGGAGAAGAGTGATTTGGTGATACCCTCAAAGAATATTCGTATGAAAATCAGCGCATACATAAGGTCCATCGTAATCTAAATCTAGATACATTTCAAAATCGAGTATCCGTATGTTTTAATGGCATTCGACAAATGGTCGCGAAGACATGGGTGAATATTATACAGGCATGGTGCATCCGATGTGGGGCAATATCATATTCATTCCCGTGAATGAAGCTCAAAACACTACGCGTAGGTAAAAACAAATATGATGAAAGTCAGGGTGTTTCAGGAGTCTGATCAATACCTGTATATGTCTCATAAAATGTGACCATCCTTCCAGTATTAATCCATCGATCAGTATCAACATCCAGACTTCAGACTAAACATTTTGAAACATGATCTAAGGCTAATTGTTTGATGCTTACGTGTTACCTTTAGTTTACGCTGTTCGATAGTGTAGTACTTTTATTATGAGAATTGAAAATACATTCATGATGAGCGCTTGTAAAGCATCCGCATATTTAATCTGTTTTCAATCTACTGTGACCAGCTTTTATGAACCCTTTAGGGGAGCTCGTGTCGAACAGCGCGAGCGATGCTTAAAGGTTCATGCACAAATAATTAACTGTCGGCCAGTTTCTTTCTTTACTTCGTCGTGTAATTTACCGTACGTGATCATAATGGAAGTTCCATAATTAAATGAATACCCTCTACTTGAAGTAACATTAGAGAAAGATCACGCAGTGAAATCTGAGAATGATGCCGGAAATTTCGTACTTAGTTATCTCAGGTTGTTATCACTATAATACACAGAAACTAGCATTATACATTCACCAGAAAATGCTCAGTCTTAGGCTACGATCTAACTGAGATCCGATAGCTCTTACAAATTCGACGGGAATGTGTACAGATATGAATATTCTTATGTGTAATCAATAGCGACAACTTTTCCATAAATAGCAAGAGGAGGATCCAATTTTACAGCGGTAATTTGGCAATCTTTCGTTGTTTTAAATGTTTCCTTATTTTGTATCCTTTTGTTAATAGAGCCTTGGTGGAAGAGCTTCCATTCGTGAATACATCCCAGATTGGTGCTTATGGATGGGTAAGTTACGTTGATCTGTTTTCCATTTGGGGAAATGTGAATTCGTTTGAAGCCTCTGTGCCGTTTTAAAATGTCCTAGTTAGATGATATCCATTGGAACATTTTGCATCACCTTCATTTTGAACCTACAATACTATTTATTACTTTTCACCGATGTTTACCAATCTTTCTTTAATACGTTTGTCCTCGTCATAGTGCTTGAATTTCAAGTCCTTAGATAATACTGCTTTTGAGAATATGTGATAATACTCTTGGAGGCCATAGCCCGCCATTTGGAAGTTCACTGGTTATGGTCTGAACCAGCTGGGATTATCCCTAAGATGTTTCATGCCCATCTTATGTTCGGACAGCTTTCAATATCGCAAACAAACCTCCCCTTTTCTCTTCATCGTAGTCTTACGGAGGATTCACTGTTGGCCATCTGCTCGGTCACTCGGAGAATACTTACGCTCGATGTGGTATTGCCGTTGCCCCGGTGACGGACTTTAAATACTATGGTGAGTATTTCCGTTCAAATGTGAGCACGTACGGTACTTTTTCCAAATGTTTTTTGTCCTTTATTTGACAGTGTGACTCAGTGATGAGTTCGCGTAGGCTTACCTTGAAAAGTGTTTCTATGGCAGGCGGTCATGATGCAGTTCTTAGACTTATTGTTGGCACTTTGATAGTCAACCCGTCAATCGCTGTTAACTCCGGAATTGGTTAGCTCTATTCATCGAATATTCACACATGGAAGGTGAACCAGGTCTGAACGTGGGCTTCAACTGTGGGCATTCGAGTCCACTGTGTCCTGATAGCTGTTTTCACTTCTGTTTTTTTTTCAAGAACTCACCGGTGAAAATGGAATCATGGAATGTCGGTCCCAGCTGCACAGCAAAACTGGAACCGAAATTTTGCAACACAGTGGTTATTGCTTGTGAAACAGTGGATATTGTATAATATTCATTTGTTTTACTACAGAACAGCTGTCTTTTACATGTTATACGATAGAAAAACCAGTATAATCCTTGTCTATTATCGTTAAATTTTGAAACCTGCTTGCAAAGATTTTTCTAATCTTAGTGCTCGTCTATCTGTCAATTAGGGAACTCGTAAGCGGTATGAATTGAAATATATTCAGCTTAGTTATCCATGAACTAGGAGCCCGAAATCAGGATCAGGCTTTTCTTTTAATGTAATTTCACTATTTCTCCAAGGCAAGTATGTTTGTATCACTGGGGTCAATTGTTTTCATTCCGCCATCAGATACCGCCTATACGGAACGCTACTTGGGGCGCATGAGGGATGACCCGGATGTATACTTGGTAAGCACAATACAGCCTTGAATATCTCCCCCATTAGGCAAGCCGTATTGTGGTACAATGTGAATAATTGTGTCTTATACAGTATATTGGTCCCTAAGAATATTGTCCCTATTCGTACTGCACGCTTACCCTTTACTGTTAACTATTTTTTAATCAAGTTCTACAAAATTTATTTCTTTTGCAATGATTTGATTGCTGAACCTAATCTGGGTGGTTACTGTACTGTGCGATTAAAACAATTAGGGTTGTCTCATCTCCCCCACACCCTGATATCCATACTCAGTTCCGTACCTTGAAAACCTTCTTTCGTTCCTCTAGTTGGCAACCTAGTTCTAGCCTTTTGTCAATCGTCCTACTCACAAGAAGCGTTTGTCTTCATTCCGTACTTTCTTATCCCTTGCATATCGTGTTTTGCAAACGGTTTAATCTGTTCGCACCGGTGCACAATGATCCTGAAGGTTCACTAAACGAAATATCCCACTAAAAATTCACAATTGCAAGTTGTGTTCCTGTTCAGTATCATATCTTTGCTTCTGGGGTCTTGCAAGACTCATCGTTCGAAAGCTCACAACTCAACTTGCCGGATTTGATGATCGGTCTGTAGTTTCTCGTCAAAACAAGAGTTAGTTTCTTTTACCAATGATTATATCAGGGGTTGTGTTTGAGAAATTGATTGCACACAGAGTTCGGAATGTAGTTCGATAGTATTCTTGATCTAACTAGAGACAATATATGTATTCCATTTGGCACGCATCTGACCCGCTTTGTGTGGAAAATAATTCTTCGTAAAATTACCTTTGCAAAAGAAGAAAGTTACATCGGATCTGGCCGGGGTCAACCGTTCAAGGTGTACAATACACCTCGATAATCAGTAGAGCCAGTGATCACTGCCAAAAACAGGAAAGTGTGTATTAATATGGTTCATATGTCTCTTCTTGGATGGCTGGAACTCAGGGTTTTTCATCCAGTTTTCTGGACCAGTTGCCCATTGTTCATTGACCCAGTTATGGCCCCGTATGTCGGCTTTTCGTCCTCTCACTTTGCTGGAAAAGCCCCTCGGCCACGGTAAATCAGTGAACAAGGTTTCCTCATCAGAGGCTATTTGAGATAATTGGTGGTATAGGAGCACTTTTCGAGTTGCAGGGTGGCCAGGCAAAACCCAAGACACCCACCAACAATCATTTTTAGGCTTTCGGAGACATGTTATCGATCACTGTGGGTGTATGCATCTGAGAATAATCTTTTCGGTTCACTTTCAGAAAGCATATTTCAGGTCGATTGGATGACAATCTATCCAGTGCAGGATTACTTCTTGGGAAAGAGTGAAAAAGATCATACGCAATCTTTGTGGAAGATATGTAGCCATGCAGTCTAAATGTCTTATGAGTGTTTGCACGATACCTGATACATCCACCCCTATACTGAGGCTTTTAGGGGCTTAATTAGAATATGCACGGTCATTGGTGTATATCAAACGCTCCTATTTATTTTCATTTTTTGAGAAAAACACGAAACATTACTTATGTATCTGCATATTTTACATAAACTCGTTAGTCCGAATTTGGTTGTATTTGTGAAGATCATTCAATCTGGTAATTATTTGCTTATTTGTAATATATGTTACGGCTCAAAGCGGAGAATATATATCTGTTGCACACACACATACATGCCCACCTTTTTCCACATTACAGCAAACCCAAATCGGAAAGAACGCGAAAAATATGCGCGGTAAAAGTCTACTTCTTGTTCATGGAACTGCTGACGGTAAGGCTTGACACGCAGGATGCCTACTTGGTGACCGTTCATTCACTATGGATGGCTTTATTGGGTTGAATACTGAAAGTCCTTTTTCTGTGTTTATTTTTACCACAAGTGACATTGGCGATGAGCACACGATAGAACTGTTCAAAGGTTCCAATAGACTGCAGTTTGGGATGGTGCGCAATGAGCGCTGTAACTTTTAATCGCTGACTTAAGGGGCCCATATGAGTGTGTTTGGTGTGTCTTTCAAGCCTAATGTGGCTTCTTTTCACTGTAGTTCCACTACTCAGTGGAACCATAGATAGAGGTTGAATTCCAGTTCGCTTGTTCGCCGAGCATGGCGATTTGTTTGCAAACGTTTCATCACCAGAAATCATTAGTGTTTGTGATGATGTCACCTCGGTTGGTGATGCAACGTTTGTAAACAAATTGCTAAACAGGCGAAATGGAATTCAGTTCACCCGAGCTACGAGAACCGATGTTCAATAACTTGTCAACAAGTAGAAGTTGAACTATACTCACCAAGGATTAATCCTTCTTACGAAATCAGTGCAGGCTATTTTGGCTTTGTCGTGTAGCTTTCACAGTGTACTGCGCAAACTGTTAATAACCCCACCCTGTTTTTCACCAATTTCTTGATAATCAAACCACCCAAGAAGATCAAATTTGGCATGGTGATGATAAAACACATTGCCGCGTAGAAAAACCAAATGGATTTTGCTTAAGACTGTCGAACTTATTTATCCTGGAAAATGTGGCCCTGGTTGTGCGAAATGCTATTAGCCACACTGTGAGTCCTGTAGTCATTAAAGTGCACTTCGCAGCTTGTCACGTGAGTGGTTCAGATGAGTTCGGCGGTCTATAGTTCTAAGCGACTGAACACTATTCGCTTCGCACACGGTAGATGAACGACGACCGCCACATCGTGTGCATCGTGTTGTAGTTCATGGACTCGTCGTCTGCTGAAGGTGATCGCAACCGGAATAAGAAAAATCGCTCGCCTACAAAGACCTGGACACTGGTATTCCCAAAATCACTGAAAACATTCACTGATCACCGCCGATGGTTTGGACATTTTTAATAAATCACATCTGTTAAAAAGGACCATACCGAAATTCGGCCACGCTACATTTGTGCTCCAGTGGATAATTTATCAACGTTTACGTCACACACTAAATTTAATTGTTTGGATCAAATTTGTTCCATTGCTTTTATGGTTGCCTACGCCCCGGAAACTTTACATAGTTTGAAACATTGTGTTATCGCGCAGGAGTGGCGTTTCTTATCAGTTCATTCGTCAAGGTAAAAATAGATTAAAAAAATGTAGACCGTCTAGGTAGGGTTTCCTCAGAAATCACCGAGCATGTTGGCAAGTGGCTTTATGTAACACAAAACCTCAGAAAATGTCTATTCATGCTATCTGCTCATCAAACGTACGATCACTATTCGTGAAAATGAGTTACTTCACGAAATTGATAAGGATGAAAGAATGCCATGCTCTGGGGATAATTATGCTGCAAGAAACGTGGTTGCATCCTAACATCAACGAGTCTTTGTTTGAGCTGGATTTCTTTGATATGCATCGGTTGGATAGAAACTGATTACTACGAAATCTGTCGGTGGTCTAATGACCTACACCCGATCCTCTTGGTGCAAGTCTATAAAGGTTATCTTCACCTACAACGTAGGATATATCTCGTGTAATTTGGTTGAATTTAAACCTCATTTTATTGGTAAATATCGTTCTACCGTATCATTATTCTTTACATTGTGCCCCCGGTACAACTTCTGACGTACAGACTTTCGCTGA